CGAAGCGCCTCCACCTGGACAAAAATTATTATCGCCATATGATAGCCTCCTTCGTACCGTGCAATTTTTGTTACACAAATATTCCTCTGGGCCTCATAGATTCGAAGATATTTAAGGTTCTAATAGTTATTGCCCCACTCTGTATCTATATATATATATATATATATATATATATATATATATATATAATAATGATCCTTCATAAAGAGAAAAACCATTCATTAAATGAGAGAATGAGATGATAAATTAGAAGAATAAGATGAATATCAAATTGCTGAAATGTTTTTTTTCAGTCATAACGAGAGGAAGCAAACTTTTATCCAGTCCAGAACTTAATCCTTCTTCATTGAAATAGTTTCTATATAACTTTGAAAAGTTGCCAGATTATAGAATAACGTGTCATCCTAACAATTAGCTCATGCAACCCCAGCCACACCGGTATTCGAGGACAGATTTCCTTGGAGACCACTTCGCGAATCGACCTTTTAAACTTTCAACCAGGGAGGTTCATTAGTACATAACTCGAGCACGTCTGTCCACCACGAACGTAAAAACTTTTATTACAAACGTTCGGTAGAAGGTATAATGTTGGATAATTTACGTGGTTTTCAAGATTCTTTATTTTCTAAATAGAAAATTATTTTAATTAACATTTTTTTATACTTTAAATCATATTCCTTCATTTTCTAAAGAATTTTTAATTATTAGTATAATAAGACTTAATCAATTATTTTTTTATAATTTTATAATCGCCCTTTAGACAATATAACATTCCGTTATTATATTACGTATTTTTTCAATATTTTTTATTATTTTATATCAAATAGAGAATAATTTTATTAATGTCTTTTTATATGCAGTCTTTTATTTTTTTTAAATTTTAATTATTATAACCATAATTATATCGATAATTAATCATTTATTACATAATTTTGTGATCGCTCAGTAAAAAGTATATCCTTAGGTTATTCATATTTTTAAAGATTTTCTATTTTTGAAAATTATGCTAATGGTATTTTCTTATATTTTAGATCATATTCTTTCGTGTTAAAAAAAATTTTAATTATTAGCAGTATTAATTAATCTTTTTATTTAATCTATGAGAAAATTGAATTGCAATAACATATCATTTAAAGTTGAATTTTTATGGTTATAATGCAGGAAAATGTCGTTACTTTTATATTTTTTTATATTTGTAATAATAATTTTATTTAATTAAATTTTTTTTAGCGGAGTAAGAGATTTAACACAGTAAAAAATTAAATAAAGCTAAATTAATTAATATTATATAGAGAGAATATATTTTGTTTATAATATATGCTTTTCAAAATTATTATTAATATTATATATGTAAAATATTATTAATATTATGTATAATAATTAATAATTAATAATTAATAATTTTTAAAAAGTATATACAAAAGTTAATATGTATCACCGATTATAATGACTTGTTGATATTGTTAGTGGAATTCTTTTTACGGTATAACGCTAATAATATCGTGATAATGATTCATACATACAAATTGTGTCAGAAATTTTATGCATTATTTATTAATGACAGTTCCTTGAGATTATTTGGAAATTATTTTTTTTCTTTAACGAAAATGTCAACACATTAATAATTTCCGAATTATAAGCAAATAAAAAACAAAAATCTTTTTAAACGTTATGGAGTTAACAAATTAACAAAACTACATTTTTCAATTAATTACAGGGAGGGTTAACTTTATTAGAAGTTTAATATAAGTTTTAGTTATATGATGGCAACTGAAAATTTGCAAAAAAATTAGAATCTTCTCGCGACATTTTTGCTGAGAAAAATTATTTTCACGTGATCTCTCAAGAATATCTATTATCAGCAGGCAGTGTGCCGACTCTGGGAATATCCTATATATGAAGAATCATTGAAAAAATATATTTTAACGCGATATCCTAGAGATAATTCCACGAACAATATGAACCGAAAAATACAGAGAAAATTGCTATCTTGAGAGAAGAACGTATTTCGAGAAAAGCGAATTATGATACCTTATAAAACATGAATTATGATTATATATATTATATATATATATATTGTTTTCATTTGATATAATTATATAATTAATATAATGTCAAGAGTCAACTAGTTAATCTGACAATTAAACTAGATAACTCGCTAAGAAAATCTTCGAACCGAAAGCACAGGCCGACCAGATGTAAATCTGCGAATCAGAGAGGAATATACAGATTCAGTGCTCTGTCATTAATCAATCAGATAATTAGGGTCATTTCGCTATTAGGGCTCGTTATGGTTTGCGCACTCTCCGCGGTTGGTCTTTGACAGTCTAAAGTGCAGAGCGGAACTACTAGGAGTACTGGTAAGTGCTACGATGCGTAGCGCAGATTTCGAGGACTGCATAGAGATTCGTCGTGTGTAGATATGTATCATACTCATGTGTGTACATACATATACTTGCACAATTAGCAAAATATCGAAGCTCTTATCATGTCACCCTAAGAAGCTGATAATAACACTGGTCGACAAAAAATGACTTTTTTTTTAGATTCGGAGATTTCCAAAGCGTATTCTTGTAGATTTTTTCATGTTGATTACAAATCCAGCCGCGAAAATTGCGTATCATGTGGGGTTTTTTAGATATCTTGAGCGAAAAAGGGCATTGTAGACACTTTTTCGTATAATATAGCTTTTAATTGGGACGTGATAAAAAGTGCTACGACGGCTCAAAATAAAGCTTAAGACTTGTAGTTTATGTAAAAAATATAAAAAAGGTCGAATCTATAAAAAGTTTACTAAAGAAACTAAATGAAAAATTGAAAATATCATTTTTCGCACTTTTTCTTATACTAATACAAAGTTTTAGAGGTTTGGTAGAATGGTTCACTATAACTCTTTTATAGATTCGATCTTTTTACATTTTACGTTATATATACATATATATATATATATAAATTAATATAAAATTTAAAACAACGCAATATATAATTCAAAATAAATAGATTATACATTTTGGTTCATTTACCATATAACAAACATATTTATATACTTATATTATTTAAATTTATACATTTATATTATTATTTTATATTTAACAATAAAATTTATTGTTATATCATATGGCTACTTTATTGTAACTACACAGATAATATATCCAGAGCCGTCTTAACCGCGTGTGCAGAGCGTGCGTTGTACACGGGCGGCAGGATATAAAGGGTGGCAAGTGATTGAGAAGTTTGTGAATAGAATAAAATAATGTTTCTTATAAAAAACACTCAATTCTTTGACTGTTTTAAGTATAAAAATGAAATCTTTCAAATCTCAAATAAAAAGATATCAAAGAATTTGCTATACCAAAAAGCTGAATCCCCATTAAATTAAAAAATCAATATTATGTTTGTCTTTCTTATTTTTTAAATAATAAACTATATATATATAACTTTTTTCATTATTCTTTATTTTGTAATATTTAAATAGAGATTTATTTAAATAAATATTTCCCATAGCAAAAACATTGGTAATTATGGTGATCTGGATGTCATAGCGATGTGCGAATTCCAGTGAGAAATGATGGTCGAATCGACGTCGATTCGTTGTCGAATCGATGTCAAATTTGTCGAATCGATGTCGAATCGATGACGATTCGACTAATCATTTTTCACTGGGATGTCCGCTTTGTCATAAGTGTGATGTCACAATGATATCATTGGGCACTAGATAAATTAATATACTAACTAAATTCTCTCGAATTAATCATTTCAGATAAATAAGCTCAAAGCTACAGTGATCACCGCAAAAAACTTACAAAAAATGCTCTTGCTGATATCTTTTTGTTTTTTAATATTTTGTAATAAAAAAATACTATAGAATCTTCAAAATGTATACATTCAAATAATTAATCATTTATTTTAAAAAATCTTTTAGTTTAAAAAAAAATCCTAAAAATACATGTTTTTTCGACCTTACAGGTAAGTATATAAGCCCTTAAATCTATATGAACTGTTGATTGTGCGTTTTTAATTTAATATTAATATACGTATTAAACATTTCATATCAAATATTTTATATAAAAAATTTACAGTTTAATATACACATAAGTGTACGACTATTTGTTGCACGTTTCTCAATAGTTGACAGGAAACTATTAACTAAATAGGTTTCAACTTACGAATAAATATATGATTTGCATTCCGCCTCTTTTATTAGATAAAAATATTCGTTAGTGATGTCATGATCTTTAGAGCAAATCAAACATTTCACAATCTTATGATCTCTGTGATTTTGCTACATAATATACATTATTCGCCATTGTATATCAAACTGCATTAACCCATTACAATAAGTCCATTCCATATACATTTACTAATTACTATAATGTATTAATTATATATTTAATATATAATATCATCTGTGTATATTACATGCGTAACATATAACATACAATTTTATGATTTATTTATATACACACATACACATGCAATATATATATATACATATATTTATAATATAAATAAGAACAGATTTTTATAATAGGTACATATAAACATAAATATGTAGGCTGTAAATATAATATTTAAATAATAATTCGTTATACATATATATAGATGTATTTGTGTGTGCAAGTGTGTGTGTGTGTGTTTGTGTGCGTGTTCTTAAATATATAATTTTATTAATTAACGTAAAAACATTAAAAATAGAGCAATATATAATTCAAAATAAATAGACAATACATTGAGGTGCATTTATTATTTGACAAGCATATTTATATATTTATATTATTTATATATTTATTATTATATTGTTATATTGTTATATTATATCTAACAGTAAAATTTATTGTAATATATATGGCTATTTTCTTGTGACTACACAGATAATAATATATAGTCTTCAATCAAGTTCACAAAAATATGAAAAACTTGAGGCACGCAGTCATAAAGTTCAGTAAATACAGAAGCATCAAATAGTAACGCATCTATATAAACAATAATTAAAACAGTAAAAGAAATAGTGGATACAATATAAAAAATTATTTGTATGAAGTACATCCACTCATGCAAAGCTGCAATTTTTTAATTCCAATGTTTAAAACGGATATTTTCATAATATCGTATCTGTCTGTTGATTTGATCGTTGCGAATTTTTATCTTGCTTTGAATTTTGTCAAATTTCATTATAAAATCCTAATATATATAAACAAATATTTGTATCATCAAATCAATGTATTTTATATATTAATTAAGAAATATAAAATTAATATTCTGAGATTAATAAGAGATAGAACAATATTTCTTTTTCTTTCGCTTTCCATAATAATATTTATTAAATTTACCTCCTTTATTTGACGTCTTTTCAGTATATCTTTTGTGATATTCATTTCTTGAACTAAGTATACTTTGACCTTCATACTTTCAACATATTCCTTTATTTCCTAAAATGTATTATTTTTTTAACATTATTAATAAATAAATTTTCTGTAACATTATCAAAATTATTCTAAACATTAAATAATAATTATAAATACGCATTATTATCACATTTTGTATAAATATATAAACATGTAAAATTTTTACCTTAGTTAGATTTTCGGAATATATGTTATTAATAATAATAATTAATGCTGCAGTTGTATTAACATGTCTAAAAACGAAAAAACAAGTGTATACAGGGTAGTTGGCAACTCGCGCCTCACCTGTCAGGTGCAGGTAGAGCAGATCCAACTGAGTAAAAACGTCCTTTACCATTTTGCGATTTTCTCAATCATAAAGGAGAAATTAATTAATAAAGTTTGGCCAATCCACGCGAGTGGTAGCGCGCGGCGAGAAGAGACAGTCCACTGAAAGGTCCAGCTTTATGCATGTTACTACCTTTGTCGATTATTATCCATTGCGTTTGTGTAGAGCACGCAAATAAGCCGATTTTTATAAATTAATTTCCCATTAATTATAATTAATAATTGAGAATTATGCAAATTGGTAGAGGACTTTTTATTCAGTTTGACCTGCTCTACCTGCAGCTGACGGGCGCAAGTTACCGCGGACACCCTGTATATAAAACAAATAATAAATTTTTGTACAAAATATTTGTAAAAATATGTCACATTACTTTGGTTTTAGTTCCTGAAGATAATTTAATATGTGCTGCAGTATAATTAGATTATTTGCATGCTTCGTTATAATATGTAAAAAACCGTTAGAAAGATATTCCCGTTGTGTAAAAGTGGGCGGACTTAAATAATCCATTATGATATCAGTATTTTCAGTGCAAGCCAAGAATTCTACATATTTAGTGTTATTCAATCCTAGATCATATACTAATTTCCAAATCTTTTTTTTGGCTATCATCAAACCTTTACAATATGTCCATTCCTTCCACCATGGCAAAAGTCTGAAATAAAAAAAAAATTAATTTTCTTATTAAAAATTAGCATATGGATCTCTTGATCAAATTACTTGAACATTATAGACAATACCTACAAGAGAATTTGATTACGAAAGGCTAAAAATATATAACAATATTTACTTGTGTTCTGTAGGATCTAGGAGATGTTGTCTTAATTTATTGTAGGCTTCTTTCTTACAAGTGTTGTCACCAAAAAGACATGCCCATTTTGCAGCTTCTTGTCGTAAACATGATCTTAGCTTGTCTCTGTCATCTATTTCTTCATACTTTATTCTTTGAAGTACCTCAAATCTGACAGGCCATGCTCTATACTAAAAATCGTTAAATAAATATTTTTTTTGTGCATATTATAAATGGATTTAGAAAAGATTTTTTTATTATTTTCCAACATATTCTTAGAACTTTTTCTATTTTTTAAACAAGAGGACAGACAAATTCACTTATAAATGCAAACGTTTATCTACTATATACATGTACATATACGTTCAAATAAAAATACATGTATGTACAAATATATTTTAATTTGTGCGAAATGTTTATAATATTCAAAGATAATAAAGTTTTATAACTATTTATCATATTTTCTTTAGGTATTTTCTAAGATAAAAAATATATCTTTTTTAAATATATAATTAAATTTCTTCAACTGCATGAATATTTCACTTATTTAAAAATTGCTAACATGTAATTTTCAAATAAATAAAACGTTCATGCAGTTAAAGAAATTTAATTATCTATTTAAAAATTACTAATTAACAAAGATTTGAAGCCAGTAGCTATATATCCAACAATGTTATATACCAATAATATTGGCAGTAGTAAAATTTATACACTTTGGGGATCGTTCTTCGCGTAAGATGAGTGATTATAGTTGTTATGAGTTAATGTTGTATGAGATGATGTTTTATGAAATGATATTGAGTGATTATAGTGAGTTAAGTGATTATACACACTTAATTTGTTTGCACGTTTATTGGCCACGTAATAGGATGTAAAATTTTATCGTTGTTGGATATATTTTTCTGAGTGTTTAAATTTCTTGTAATGAATAAAAGTATATGCAAATATCTAAAAATGTAACACTTTTATTGAAATCTATTGATATTTACTTTAAAGCTCTAACTTACTTCTTCTAGTATGGCTACAGGAAAAGTACTAAACATGTATTCCAGAGCTTTAAACATAGGATACCATGCTATATAATCTTCTTCTTGTTGTAAATACGGTATGATATTCCAGAATATAGAGGAATGGAGATGACCTGCTATCATAAAATAAAATGCATCATCGATAATTTGGGCACGATTAAGAACAGGAATTTTCGTGTAATTATCAGATTTTAGATAATTTGAAATTCTTTGCCAATTCTCATCATCATAGTTAACGCGATAATATCCTGTCAAATAATAAATAAATTTTATCAATTTTTATTGTTTCGAAAAATTTTATTAGAATATATTTTCTAATATTTTAGTTTCATACTTTCGTTTATATAAATTATAAATTAAGAACGTGCCAAAATTTAATATATATAAATAAAATAAAATATATATAAAAATGTATTATAAAAATGTCATCTTAATACTTGAAATAGTAGAAAAAATGAATCTGTGCAATATATTGTTGTATATCATAAAATAAAATTGATTTTAGTTGTGGATAAATAATAATACTGCTCGACAAAAAATAACTTTTTTCAGGTTCAGAAAAATTTCCGAAGCGTATTCTTGTAGATTTTTTCATGCTGATTACAAATCCGGCCGCGAAAATTGCGTTTTACTTCAGGATTTTGAGATATCTTGATGTAAATATGCGAAAAAGGGCATTTTAGACACTCTTCTGTAAAACAGCTTTTAATTGGGACGTGATGAAAAGTGCTCCGTCGGCTCAAAATAAAGCTTAAGACTTGTAATTTATGTTAAAAAGATAAAAAAAGTTGAATCTATAAAGAGTTTATTGCAAAAACTGAATTAAGAAATTTAAAATATCATTTTTCGCAGTTTTTCTTATATTAATACAAAGTCTTTAGACGTTTGGTAGAATGATTCACTTTAACTTTTTATAGATTTGACCTTTTATATATTTTTTTCATAAACTACAAGTTTTAAACTTTATTTTGAATCATTGTAATACTTTTGATCACGTCCCAATTAAAAGCTATATTTTACAGAAAGTGTCTTAAATGCTCTTTCTCGCATATTTAGATCAAGATATTTAACAAACCTGACGTGATACGCAATTTTCATGGCCGGATTCGTAATCAACATAAAAAAATCTTAAAAATACGCTGTAAAAATCTCAACAAAAACTTTTTGTGTTTCGAACAGTGTAATTATTTTATACTAACCAATCTAATTTCTGTAACATGTAACGTTACGAAAATTGTTTGTTACTTGCACGTATTATTAATTTCATAAATATAATTACCTTATTTTAATAATTTTTATTATAATTAGAATAAAACATTTGTAAAAATATAACATTAACATTTAATGATATTATTTAGAAAACGCCTACGTATATCTTAAATATAATTATTATATATGTAATAATGCATATGGCACAAACGTTTTAAAACTATTATAGTTATATAATAAATATTTCAGATTTTTATATGATAATGAATAAAATAGATAAATATATAAAATAATGTCAATTATGTGTGTGTAAAATAAAGTCGAGAAATAACTTATAATAAGTCCATTGTTCAATATTTACCAGTTTGTTGTATATTGAATATTATCCAACCATCCTCCTTAAATGGTAATGTTAATACAAAATTTCTCGTTATTAGCGAAATATAAGAGAAATTGTTAAAATTGCGGTACGTCTGCGTAGTAAAAGTTATAGGTAAGCAATAAGTTTTTAATATATCGAAATTTGGCACTGAAATAACTATTTTAGCCGTAGGATTATCATAATATCGTATTATTTTTACGAGAGGACAATGCTCTTCCGAAGCCCAATATTCCATTGTTTGTAGAGCCATTTCTGATTTTCTTGATTCAGGAACAACTGCTTTCATAAAATTCTCAAAACTTCGATGATATAATTGGCTAAATTCACAAAGTATGTAAAATATATAAAAAAACATTATAAATATGTTAAAATTGTATGCATAATGTTAATGTTATAAAAAATGTTAATAAATATGACGAAGCAAAATACAAAACTGCACTTATATTTATACATTTATATATCTTATATTTATATTATGATAATAAAAATTATAACAATTTTAATAAAATTTAATAATTTTATTAAATTTTTAGACATTATTAGCATTAATATAGATTATATTTGAGCAAAGTATTGTGAGAGTTATAAAATGATTAAAAGAAGAAATAAAACAAATACATAAATAAAACAAAACTAAAACAGACTACAAAAACATTAGAAAATAATGTAAGAAGAAGCCAAAAGTAAGGAACATTTTAAAAACTTCTATTATAAAACATTATTTATATTACACAATTTTATTTTTTGAAATTTTATTTTATATTAAATTACTCACGTGCTATTTACATATAAGCGAATGCCATTCCAAAATATTTTTTTGGTGAAGACGTTTTGCATCATGCGCAGTATAAAGGGTGCTACGATTTACATTAAAATTATAAATTAGATATATTATAAATATACATTTATTAAAATGGTTACTTGTAAACAAACTGATTTTTTAAAGGAAAATTATATTGTATTTGTATACAGTGTAGTAATCACGTAAGGGCAAAATATTGTTTATTTTTATACCTTTTATTATTGTATATTATAAGTAAATTTTCCGTTAATACTTACAAAGATAGGAAATTTTTTAAAGACTATTCAATTAATTACTTCTGCTAACATATGTGTTGTATTACTGAGCACTTTGTGTGTGTGCGTGTGTGTGTGCTATTTTATCCTTACAACTTATTATATTACCTCTGATAGATTGGCGAATTTCTAATAAACTGTCATTTTGTGAAGTTAAAGGCCACATATGATAATCACCATCCAAATTAAAAGAGTAATGTTGATTTTGAACAACAAATAATTTTATTATTCGATAAACTGGATATATCTATAAAAAATGATTAATATATCAATATAATTTCGTTCTTAAGATACATGCATTAAATACTAATATTAATATTATTAACGTTACTTCATTGTTAAAATGACCAATTTCTTTTTAGAAAACACATATCAAAAAATTTTATTAATGCAATCTAAAATTTTGTTAAAATATAATTAGGAAATATTACATATTTTTTAAATAAAAAGTATTATATTGCAAACATCTTTTATCAAATTTATTTTAATAAATATTATGTGTACTATATAGTTTTTGATTAATTTATTTTATTTTAGATTTCATAAAAATTTAAAAATATCTAATAAAATGGTGTTCAAAGATAAAATTTTTAATAAATGAAATTACAATTATATGTAAGTAAATATGTGAAAAATGTATTTTTTAAAAATATTGTTGATTATTTTATATAATGCTAAATGTTTTTAAAACAATTCACAAAGAATGTGTATGGATTTTGTAAAAAGAGTTTGATTTAAGAAAATATTGCAATATGATTGCATAAGTATTGTATCGTTTGCGAGAAGGTGGGAGCGTGATAGCGAGATAATATCAAGAGACACGGTAGTGTCTCGCGACCAGTTAAGGGCGTAGCGGAGACACCGTGTATCTTAACGCGAGTCGGACATTTGAGTCTTTATAATATTTCGAATCCTCAATAATGGCTGAAGCAATCGAGTTTATACTAGACTTAATCGATAGATTGAGTTCGAATTATATAATAAAAGTGTCTTTATTTCTGCTCTACGTGATTTGTAAGCAGAGATATATAAATGCAAAGTCGAAATATGAAAAATTCTATTAAGAAACGTCCCCGTCATCATTATCATCATCATCATCATTATCATCATCGACCACGCATACATAGTAGTATCGTGCTACACGTATTCACACGTATACAACACATGCGCACACATATATCACACGTACACAACACATGCAAGATGCATGTAGTGGTAATTTTGTCCATCTCGCACGTTTTACAACAGATGGCGATAGTGGCGCTCCGCCATATCGGCAGCGTGCGGGGTTATGTTGGCTAACTCTCTCTCTCTCTCTCTCTCTCTCTCTCTCTCTCTCACACTCACTCACTGTTTCGTCTTGTGTACTTATTTAGTACATTCATGATTAAACATCTATATGCATTAATGTGAAATTTACTTACAATTAGTTTACTTGAAATATTCAATCTCTAAAGTGTTTATCTTATAAGATAGACAAAAAAATCTGAGTAAATAATAAGAAAAAAAAACAAAAGGATTATTATTGTCATAATTTTTTATCAATTAAGTACTCTCAACTATCCAATAATTAAATAAATACGTACAAATGTGCGCGCGTGTACACACATACACATATTGATATTAAAGAGATTGAAGGAGAGGAAGGAGAAGATAAAAATTTAAATATTCACATATATTTTCAAATATTATATATGAATTTATAGTTTACATATCTAATTAATAATGAATTTCTAATTATATTAAACATATCAAAATAAAGACATACATGTATTTATCAAATGAATAAAATTATTGAATACAGACTTAAAAATTTATTAAACATAGACTTAAAAAATTAATTAATTAAACATATTCCAAATTTAGAAAAAATAAACTTTATTTATATATGCAACAGCTTTTTAAACTAAATTTTTAAATTCTATTTTATATTAGACAATTATCTCAATCAACATCTACGTCCACATTAGCTGCACTGCAGACTACCTCTACAGCCACATTATCTGCTCCGCGGATATAGCGTTATGCCAATACGATACATTACATGTACTTACTTACTTGCCTTTACTGTACCAACTCTTGTTCTTTCCACGTAATCATGTTTTTACAGTTATCGTTTGCTGTATATCTTCCAGCAAACTTTATTTCGTGTGAAGTGTATTTAATTAATTAAATCTCTGCGAAAGATTGAGAAGATGAAGGGATAATTCAAACTATGAAGACATGGTTACATGGAAAAGACAAGAGTTGATACAATAATAAAGACATACATGTATTTGTATCCTGCTGGCATAAGGTTATAGAAGTTGATTGAGATTGAAAAATAATAATGAAAATAATAAAAAAAATAAAGACACATGTATTTGTATCGTGCTGGCATAAAGTTATAAAAGTTGATTGAGATTGAAAAATAATAATAAAATAATTAAAAAAAGGAAATATTCAATCATCATTTAAAAGCATATTTGAAATCTGTAGAATAAACAGTTTTTGCAAAAAATGTGGAGCATTTGAGCTCTAGTAAGTCTAAAAATAAATGTAAACATCAATTAATAATAACTGATGTTATATATATATATATATATAAACCAATTTGTTGCAATATTCACTATAAAAGGTTGTAAGGGTAAGATGGCTAAAAGTGAATAATTTAAAAGATAGTTAACATAATTTTACATAAACTGAAATATTTCATAAAATAAAATATTTGTAATATTTCGAAGTTTATGTAAGATTATGTAAAAATTATACCTTTACAACTTTTTATAGTAAATATTGCGAGGAATCGATTTATATGAGAAAAATTAAGGTAATTCTATTTTGAAAATATAAGTGACCTTTAAATAACCTTGAAAATCGCCGTTTAGGAAAAAGTCTGTGTCAACTTTTTCTTTTTCGAAATCCTGCAACTTTTATCTAAATTTAATAGAAAATGTATAAAAAATGCTCGACATTAGTGACACACACACACACACACACACACACACACACAAAGGGTAAATTTATATAAATAGGGTGCTTTAGGAGGAATGATCAGGATTCTAGGATATGATTGTACACATCATTTTAAGCAAAGAAGTTTAGATAAACATGTTTAATAATTGTTCTATTCCGGTCATAAAAATATACAAAAATGAATGATATAATCTCTAAAAACTCACCTTTAAAAAAGGTAAAAAAAGGCGACCAGTTAAGGGCACGCCATTAACAAAAATTATCCATTGCAAACCCATGTAGAATCCTATCCTATTGCAAACCCATGTAGAATCCTATGAAAAATTAATCATTGCAAACCCATGTAGAATCCTAGGCAAAATTAACCATTGCAAACCCATGTAGAATCGTACCCATTGCAAACCTATGTAGAATCCTATGAAAAATTAACCATTGCAAACTCATGTAGAATCCTATGAAAAATTAACCATTGCAAACCCATGTAGAATTGTATTAAAAATTATCCATTGCAAACTTATGTAGAATCCTACATTGCAAACCCATGTACAATAGAATTGTATGAAAAATTATCGATTATAACCTGTACAATCGTAACAAAAGTAATGAAATAAAAAAAAATTGCGCCAAGTGAAAGTAGAAACTTGTACCAGTGGAAAATTAAAGTTGCAGACATATATAGAGTCGTATAATGAATCAGTAAAAATTTAAATTTGCAAATGTAGAATCGTACCATAAAAAAACTTATCTTTTAAAAAAAAAGATAAACAAGATGCCAAGTCCATGCGCCATGTGAAAAAGAAATAAAAAAATTTTAGTTAAAAAAACTGGGAGCGCTGCTAAATAATATTCTAACAATATTAAAATTAAATTGTTACTTTTAAACTCATTACAGTTAAAATATGTTTTGTGTTTAAATTAATTAATGTTACTTTAAGGTGCATTGTAATTTGAAACTTAGCAGCGCGCCCAGTTTTTTTAACTAAAATTTTTTATTTCTTTTTCACATGGCGCATGGACTTGGCATCTTGTTTATCTTTTTTTTAAAAGATAAGTTTTTTATGGTACGATTCTACATTTGCAAATTTAAATTTTTACTGATTCATTATACGACTCTATATATGTCTGCAACTTTAATTTTCCACTGGTACAAGTTTCTACTTTCACTTGGCGCAATTTTTTTTTTATTTCATTACTTTTGTTACGATTGTACATGGTTTATAATCGATAATTTTTCATACAATTCTATTGTACATGGGTTTGCAATGTAGGATTCTACATAAGTTTGCAATGGATAATTTTAATACAATTCTACATGGGTTTGCAATGGTTAATTTTTCATAGGATTCTACATGAGTTTGCAATGGTTAATTTTCATAGGATTCTACATAGGTTTGCAATGGGTACGATTCTACATGGGTTTGCAATGGTTAATTTTGCCTAGGATTCTACATGGGTTTGCAATGATTAATTTTTCATAGGATTCTACATGGGTTTGCAATAGGATAGGATTCTACATGGGTTTGCAATGGATAATTTTTGTTAATGGCGTGCCCTTAACTGGTCGCCTTTTTTTACCTTTTTTTAAAGGTGAGTTTTTAGAGATTATT